ACAAGCAGAAGAAAATATCACACACACACACTTTTTCCCTCTCGTTTCCCTCTTCCGTGTCGTGGTTTGTGAAAACGTGTCTCAGTCACAAGCATTACCCATATACCTTCTGGATGCTCGTGCTCGTGAACCGGGTGGGGAGGGGGCAGTCACATTGATGTATTGCTGTAATCCCAACGCTGCAGCATGACACGGCTGTGAGTTGCTATGGGAGACGAGATGATTTATATTTTGCGACTCTGCTAACGGCCCAATATAACTGATGTTAATGTTGAAGGCCTGATCCTGCATTCTGATGGAGAAATGAAGGGGTCTTGCTACTAATTGAAACAAGTGAAGATAAATGTAATACATAAATCAATATATGTGTGCAGGACTCACTAAGGAGAATGTGAGGGATTATTTATTCCCCCAATTCATGTTCATTGACAATCATTGCTCTATCACTGCATGTCTTTTTCTTTAATTAAAGTTGGATTGGTCCTTCAATGCCGTCTTTGAACAGCTAGGTCTCTCACTTCAGTGTGTGATGAATGTTTCCTCTTCCTTATGTGTCCAATTGCAGGTTCATTTACATGTCCACATGGTGTGTTTATCTGCCACACGTGGCAGGTCAATGGTCGCTGGAGAAGGATGTGTGTGTAACATTGGGTTAGAGCGTGCATTGAATGAAAAACATTCATATATGGGGGACTTCCCCAGGAGGAGGAGATGGGCGTTATTGATTTCAGCGGTTGGTAATGGGGCTAAATCAATTTACCGAGCTTTAAAGGAACAATATGTAGCAGCATGAAATAATTATTGCTTTTATACCATCGTCATTGCACCTGTTAGTGTTTATCCTTCCTCTGGTACCAGAAAAGGAACCTCAAATGGTGAAAAACACAACTCCAAATACCTTGAAAAATATAGAGATTTCACCTTAAGAAAAAAGAAGACATCATTATTTATTCTCTAACATCTTTAGCAACAATACCAATAATGCACATGGTCATTTTAGTGCCAATACTAGCCAAATCAATCACTCTACACCAAAAACCTCTGAACTCCTCTCCCCTTAAAGCACACATCATGCTATTTTTAGGCATATGGGTCTCAGATATATACAAATATATAAAAACATGTCTATGAAGTGTTTTGCTTAAAATAGCGAACAGATCACCCATTCTAGCCATCCCTCCTCATACCCCTCTTTTGCAGACCTGTTAGAGAAACGCGGATTTTGGGTCCTTAGCTTGAAAAAAAAGAAGAGAGAAGGCGGAGCTAATGCCTGATCAGAATTCTACCGGAGATAAAGATAAATGATGCTGTGATAAAACGCCATCCTGTTCTAAACCACATCAAAGATTATTTCTGAAACAGTATGGAGCTCAAATGCTTTTTCTCTTGCAGGTTTATCACAAGGTGAGTTCCTTTTTTTATTTCCTGCTTTTTAATCACATGTGCTCTACACAGTACAGGTTAGCTCTGATTGTTAGCGAGGCTTGCTAATGTAAACAAAGACGATATTACGTCCAAAACACATCAGGCATTGTTTCTGATTGCAACATTCCGTTGGTCCACCGCCAATTTGACGTCATATTGGCAGCAAATCTGTATCGGCTCATTCTACCCGGCCGTTTTTTAAAGATGTGGGTACGGAGGAAAAGAGAGAGAGTTTTATTTTCTGACACTGCGTGAGTTCCCCGACAGACCGTGGACACATATTTATGTATAAAAGACATCAATAAATTCATTTTGCATGATAGGTCAACTTTCTTAAGTTACATAATTCATGATATTAAAGGTGGGGTAGGTAATTCACTTCAGAAACACTTTGTTATATTCCATGGAATGCTCTTAACATCCCGATAGCAATGAATATATTAAATGCTTTGACAATAAATACATAAAAAAATGTCATCTGTGGAAGCCATTGCAAAAAAGCACGACCAATCATCTAAGCCGGCACGGCCTACCTGCCTGTCAGCCTTCCATCTCGTGCACAAACTTATCTCGTGCCCTCATTGGTCATGTGCGCCTCCGTGTGTGTTGGAGGAGGGGCTCTGTAAGGAAGTCTGAAGGAACTTTACTTTCAAATTATAGCGCACTCGAGCTGGTTTCTCCATTCTTACCTACCCTACCTTTAAATCAGCCGTTAATAGTTCAATGTCATGTAGAAAAAATGAATTCCCATCCATTGTTACGTTAAAGGCATTGAGTAAAATGTAATACCTTTGACGGCAGAACTCCATAGGACATTATTCATCAATCTTAAGCAGCAGATCTGCTGTGTTGATGCTTTACCAACACACTCCTTTGCAAAACGTTTTTGCCAACAGATTAACTGCCAAATAGCTCCCTTTCATCAGGTAATTTTCACCAATCCTAGAAGAGTAGACTGGACACATGTGTGATTCCCAAACACAGATCAAGGCCAAACCTTCCCTTTGGAAGTTCAATTATTTATAAAAGTTGCCCACCAGCAATTATGTCACTTGTTGACCTCACATGATTACTTTCAATCAGCCAAATTACCTTCTGTCACCAAGCAACTACACAGTCCCACAGAGTCTCTTTGCAAGGGATTTGAACGAATGGATAATTGCATCCGCCCAGATCTTTTACAAGATTCAATACTTTTATTGTGATTCGTACATAGCTACAGTGTAGTTATGTCGATGAAAATCTTAGGTCACAGGCTCCTCCAACAGTGCAACACAATAAAACAGATCAAATAGTGCAAGTAAATACAATAGAATAGAATATAAGTAGTGCCATAAGAGTCCATATACAAGTGATGCATAATGTGTAAGTTGCAACAAGTTTTGAAGCTAAATGCAGACAAAATTGAAGGGCTGAGGGTTAAAAACAAAAAGTACAAATCAGGAATATTAGTATAATCTTGGACTCAGTTTTAAACTGTAACAGCCATGTTAAATCAATTAGGCCTACATGGTCTGCATTCTACCACTTTTTCCAAACATAGCAAGGATTGGATGATTAATGTCTAGGCAGGACTGAGAGAAGTAATCCATGCTTTCATTTCCACTAGGTTAGACCACTATAATTGTCTTTTCTCAACTGAATTATATACATAACTTTGTGTACTGCATGACATGTTTTATAAAGACAAATGTGCCTTGCCTAACGTGGGGGATTGATGGCATTTATCAAATCTGAAGCAAGTGACGAATCAGAAAACGTCCTAATATTTATTTTTTTTTTTATTTGGGTCCGTAGTTTTAAACAAATACAACTTAACACATATTTTGTGGTTGAGGAGGCAGGGACACGTACTTGAGTGGCAGCCTGATTATTGTTTACAGCCCAAGGATACATGAGGTGAGCAGCATCAATTTGTATCTGACACATCATTTTTGATGTTTATTTTCCGCACCTTATTTAGTATGCCACCGTCAAGGCTAGCATGCTATTGCTAATGGATGGAAATGCCTGTCTTTCAGATGGTTTGTCTGTTTGCTGGTTGACCACGTTGCTGGTCCATACTGAAATATCTTAAAGGTCTCCTATTATACTCTTTTTCACCAATATATTATAGGTCTCAGATATATACAAAACATGTCTCTGGAGTGTTTGCCTCTAAATACCAAACATATCACCCATTTTAGCATCCCATAATCCCCTCTGTTTCAACCCTGTTTCAAAAGTGCTGATTGTGCCTTGTTGGCGGTTTTTCTCTGAATATAAATTGTTGTTCTAAGCTGCGACAAAAAGTTAATTACTACTCATAATGAATTCATCACAATTCTCTCACTGTCATAGTGACACATTATACATGTGATTACAATTGAATACTTACAAAACACTGCCCTTTTTGTGAGAGGTAGTAGCTTCTTAATTAAGAAGTTATTATGCCGGTTTACCGTCTCACAGTGTTTTCCTTTGCTGATCACTTCATGATCTCTGTGAAATGTTGAAGAAGAATGAAAGATACATTTATTTGTATTTTATAGTTTTTATTTATTAACAGTGATGGATGTCAACACCAGATTCAGACAATGCTTTCTTAAAAAGGATGAGGTATCTGTATGCTCGTGATATGCATGTCTGATATAAAAGTGAGATGTTGGCTTTCATCAAACATTTAAGAATTATACCTTCCTTTTAATATACCACTATATATATATATATATATATAGTATATACTATATATATATATATATATATATATATATAGTGTATGTATTATTTGATGCCTTTTTTCTGTAGATCAGGCAACACTTTGATCTAACACGGAGACTTAGCTTGCTTCTCCTGTCATCTAATATAATATTTCATATTGATCAAATATTCTTCACAAATCTTCAGGTAAAGTAAACAAGAATAAGATGTAGGGCAGCCTTTTGATCTTCAATCTCCTCCGCTATAGGAGTAAATAACACATTGATAGTATATTTTTAATATGCTTCCATCAAGCACCAAGGACTCAGGGTGTCCGCGGGGTCTTAAAAAGACTAAATCAATTTAGTGAAAATGAAGGCTATTAAAAAGTATTAAACGGCATTTTCCAAGGTATTACATTTTGTAGCTTGTTTTCAATAAGTACATCAATTGTCCAAAGAGGTTGTAGTCTAAAGTTTGCCTGAATGTAATCATTGCGTAGGTGTGTAGTGTGATTCTGTGTAGCTTATTTATGGCATCCCGTTGGATTTGACGTCATCTGAACAGGACATCGCACGCTCACTGCTTGATACCCCGCGAAGGTCCGTTTACGCCGGTTGTTAAACAACATCGTTATGGGGAAATGCAAGTTTGCGTCCAAATGGTTGGAAGATAAGGAGGAAGGACAATCAACACTGTACTGTATATAGTCAATGTGAGGTAAAGTGTGTTGCCAATGTAACCGGTTAAAACTCAAAGTGGCGATGAGGTCTTAAAATGTATGGAAAGTGTCTTAAAAAAGGTCTTAAAAGGTCTTACATTTGACTTCAGGATTCCTGCATATACCCTGGGACTGCATCCATATTAAAACATGTGTTTTGTGTGTGTTGTTGCAGGTATGGTGAACTTCAGCGAGGTGTCTGGCTACCCCCTGGTTCAGCACTGGAGTCTTCGCTCTGTGCTGTACCACGTCAAACTCAATCAGTGGGTCCTCTCTCAAGGTAATTAATAAAATATTATATATTTATCATGTGTTATTCCAGATTGTTTATTTATGCTGTAGGAGACCACGCTTGGGTCTCTGTGGCTTAACTTTCATGGTCTAGATCAGGGGTGCCCAACCAGTCGATCGCGATCGACCGGTCGATCGCGGGGAGATTCCCAGTCGATCGCGAGATGTGTCTAAAAATAGAACAACAATATTCTGTTTTATCGTTAATGTCCTGTAACATAATCTTCCTGTGCCAGAATAATGCACTTGAACGCATCAAAGCTTTGTGATTGGCCGGCGTGACCCCATGTGTCGGGACGTGGCTAGTGGGCAGTGCACTTATTCGCTAACGTTGTCCGTGTCAACAGGAGTGACAGTCTGCACACAAACAGACCGCAATTATGGCAGAAGCAAAACATATATATAATTTTCACTCCGAGTGGGAGGATGATTTTTTTGTATCTATGCCAATTCAAAGTCCATCTGTCTCATCTGCAATGCGAGCGTGGCTTTATCGAAGAAGGGTCATTTAGGAGCGGCATTTCAAAACAGTGCACAAACGCTACGAGACAGAATTCCCTTCTAATTCTGCCCTACGCTCCCAAAAGGGGAGGGGCCTGAGAGCACAGCTAAATGCACAGCAGTCCATTTTCAACAGGCCCAACAACAAGAGCAAGGCTGCTACCATAGCATCTTATCGTGTCAGTCACGTTCTTGAGAAACACATGAAGTCTTTCAAAGACGGCGAAGTTGTGAAAGAAGCTTTCCTGGAGGCTGCCGACGCGCTTTTGGGGGACAGTAAAAATAACAGTAGCATTTCAACAGGCTTTTGATATAATAAAAACTCAAGTTAGATACCGTTATAATCAGCTGTAAGTTTTTGTTTGTTGAACTTATTAATTATAATTATTGAACAAAATGGTATAAGAATGCAAACTTAAATTGATTATAGTCTATTATCAATTCAGGTTAAGAAACTAGTGTTGCTTGCATCCTATTTTAAAAGAGGCATTTATTTGTATACTCTAATAAAATGCAACAAAAAAAGGGTTTGATTCTATTAATTTTGTCTTTTTTATTGCACTTTGACAGCAGATTCCTGTGTAGCTTCAGATCTGAGTTGTCTTATTAGTGAGCCTAATTTATACTTTTGTAGCAACACTATTTTTATATAATGGCAAAGAAAGGGTTCAGAGTCTTTTCTTTTTTTTCCTGTGTCACATGTGGCAGCACTGTTCAATGTTTCTTGAAAACATTACCCACTGTAGTATGTGACGTGTGAATAAACTCCAACTCTGTATCAACAACACTGTTGTGTAACTTCAGTTAAATACTTGTATGTGTGTAGATTAGAAAGAGGTAAGATAAAGGATCTGCAGTATTTTATGAAGTATTAATTGTACAAAGGTCAGTTTTATTCAAGTAGAAGTGTGCATTTACCTGGTAGTAGGCTTTCAGTAATGGCTACGCCTCTCTATTTGGACTGGTAGATCTCGGCAGACTGGCAACTTTAAAAGTAGCTCTCGGTTCAAAAAAGGTTGGGCACCCTTGGTCTAGATGGTGAATTACAGCCCCATCGGCTATCAATTATTAATCACAATGTAATTAATGTGAGTGACACATCAAGGTTAGCCGCTCATCATAACAGCTTGAATACTTTGTTTAGTTTTCATTTGATCAGCTATGTGGTTAGCAGCATGCTGTGATCTTTTATAGCTAGCCCATATTTAAGCTAGCCTATTTACTTTTACAGTTCATTAACATGTAATTGAATTGGAAATGAATAACATTAGCATTGTAGCCTACATGAATGCACAAAGATATATTTATAGCATTGTCTTTGTAGGTTGAGGAAGATCCTAAGATATACTATTTTTAAAATAGTAAAACCATAGTCTATAATTACTATATATTATTATTATTTACAGTAATATTATATTACAAGTAAAATGTTGTTATTCAAAATATTACTAAACAAATGTAAAATAGTATTGCATCAACTAAAAGTAAAAGCAGTCATTATGTAAAACGGTCAATTACCAACAAATAAATGTTGTATTATAATGTATTGTTTATATTTTATTAAATCATATTATACTATTGAAGTCAATATATGCATTGCTTTATTGTTGAAGCTGATAAATATGGGATATTTTTTAATTATTATTTTCACTATAAACCCCTCGTTAGGTATACCTTTATCCGTAGTTATACATCATAATTAATTTGTATGATTTACATTACATTACATGTTACTTGTTAGACGCTTTTATCCAAAGCGACTTACATACTCAATACTGTGGACAATCCCCACAGGAGCAATTTGGGGTGAAGTGTCTCAGGGACTCAACGACATGCTGACTGCAGTGGGACTCGAACTTGCAACCCCCTGATTCAAAGTTCAGCGCACTATCCACTGAGCCACAGCCTCCCCGTATGCTGTTTTATATTTGTATTATTTATCTCATTCTGCAAAGTAACTCATAGTTAAAGGTATCAAATACATTTAGAGAGGTGAACGTACAATGCTTGTAAAATGTAGTAGAGTAGAGAAGCGTAAAGTAATACTCAAATAAAGTACTTTAAAATGGTACTTCAGTGCAGTACTTGAATATGTGTATTTATTTATTTCATTACTAATTTTCGATGCTGTATGCGCAGTGGAAAAATGTACTGTAACAGTAGACAGAAAGTTGTCCAAGGATTAATAAACGTTTCTTAATCTGTTCTTATCAGCAGCAGTTGTATGGTAATAAAGTTCTCCAACATATAAAGACCAGCACCAAAGGGCGCACCGCAGGCAATTTTGTAATGTGCTGCTAAAAGGTTCGAGTTGGATCCATTAATTGAATTAAACCCTTGTGGAAACAGTCAATTATTTTTGGATTGTGGTGTTGCTGCTCGGCGGCAGTACTTAGAGAAAACCCTGAAAAGCAATAAATGGGCCAGGGTCAAGTTCCCTCTAATCACAAATAAGTTAAATGTCACTTCAAAGGGCACGGAATAAAAAAAGAAAGCTGCTCAACAAGCACAAGCAAACAAGAGGCCCTGAGTGCTGTGAGACACAATGCCCTCTGACTATTATTATTACGGCTTAAACTCACGGCTTAATTGAATAATAACTCATTATAGTTTTATAGACGATACATCCAGAAGCACACATAGTCCCTGGGTGCTAATGAAGACGGATGTTTCTAAACA